CCTTATGCGCCTACAGAGTAGTAGTCTCTCTGTGGAGGAGGAAACTCAGTCTCTTTGAGTGTGGTTGGATGTCTCTGGTATAAAGAAAGAGGAAATCACTTTCCTTGCAATATGGGCAGAAAAGTAGTGATGAGTTTGATGATGGAAGAGGTAGCCAGGCCACCTCCTCCTCCTCCTCTGTTCTGGGCATGCAGTTTCTACTGGACGAAAAAGCCTTGTAGGCCCTATCCAGCCTTTGGCCCAAAGATTATTGCCTCATCACTTATTGCATTTATATCCACTTGCTTCTCTGGGAGCTGAAGAGACAACTTGTGTGGAATCTAATTTTACTAATTAGATTAATTTTATTTGTACAATAACAATCCCGTGAGGTGTATTAGGTTGAAACACAGTGGTTGGCCCAGTGTTTGTGGCTGAACCAGGGACCTGGCTCCGGGCTCTCCCAATTCTGAATCTCAATCTCTGCACTGGTTCCCCATCATTTCTATAGGTATAAGTCACTACTGTGGAATGGTTAGTCTTGGCTAAAAGGTTAACGAAATGGATGTCTTCAGCCTGGTTGCTTCTGAAAAGAGGAGACCATAAGTTGCATTTAGGTTTTGGAGCACTTCAGCTGCTCTTATCTAAGCAATAATTGCCAAACCAGGAAGGGTGGAGCAGGAAATTCTAACTCCTGGCATAGGATTGGATGGGTACAGTAGGATATCCTGGGCTGAATACAAGATATCTGTCCAAGCTATTGTAACTTCTTGGTGCTGATATCTAATAGCAGGTATTGTCATCCTATGGCTGGAGCATGTTCAGAGTCACCAAATTAGTTGGTCACTCGCTAAAGCTCACCTTTCCCAAGCTTCCTTAAAGGCCAGAAAGATAAGCAGGATAGCGAAAGAGGTTGTGAAAATAAGGATTGCAAATGTGCCTCTTTCAATGCAATGAATGGTGAGAAATCAAATAACCTTTTTAAAGAACTACAAGGAGCTTACTCCAAGTTGCAGCTTCTTGACTCAGGTTATGTTTCTTCCTCCTCTGTAGGAAGCCCATTCAAAGTCCCTGTGAATGATGTGGTGGATTCATCCAAGGTAAAATGTTCGGGTCCTGGTCTGACTCCTGGTGTCGTCAGAGCCAATGTCCCCCAGTCCTTTACGGTGGACACCAGCAAGGCAGGTGTGGCACCCCTCGAGGTTAAAGTTCAAGGTCCAAAGGGTAAGTAAATCTCCACCTGACTGGACAAATGATATCTCCTTTGAGCTGGGTTCATCCCTCACCTCTTGCCCTTGTCCTGCAGGTGTAGTTGAACCTGTAGATGTGGTGGATAATGCTGATGGTACTCAGACTGCAAGTTACGTACCAAGTCGCGAAGGACCGTATAGCATCGCTGTGCGCTATGGAGACGACGAGGTGCCTCACAGGTAAGAATGGATTGGCGGAGGCCAAAGAACAGAAGCCTCTGTGACAGAAATGCAGAAACATAGCATTCATTGACCAGCTTTTGATCCTTACTATTAACAGACCTCTCTTTTCCCAGAGAACCCTATTTGAAAAGTGGGAGCTCAAAGGGCCTGAGAAGAGCTGCTGTAGCATTTGGGATACCTTACAGGGTGGTTTCCTGCATTATACTTACTCTAGAGGAGTGATGGGATTCAAGTAATTTAACAATCGGTTCTCTGCCCTAATGACAAGCTGGGTAGGCGTGGCTCGGTGGTCATGTGACTGGGTGGGCGTGGCCAACTCAAGGTCACTCAGGTCAATGAGCGCTTCGCCTTAGCTGTTACAACGGTAAT